ATTCCCCACCCGCCAAAACTCTATAACTGCCGTTTTCGCTTGACAAAATTCTGAGACTAGGGGTATATTAGTGGGCCTACATAAGCTACTTTTGCCCAATGAACGACCTTAAGCAAAGGGTACAAAAAAGGGGGTTAATTGTTTGATAGTAGGGTGCTCACCGTAGGCATTCGCACAACGACTTATAGCATAGAAACCGACAAAGACAAGCGGCAGACCGGAATAGTCGTTTCTGGCGTATTAGCCGTCATCAGCCGGCCCCTCTTGCCTTCATCGGTTCCATTTCAGCACATTCTACAAGTCGCTATGCGACTGCCTCCCAGGGCACAACTGGATGCGCATGTTGTTCCCTAATCAGATCAGTGTGCGCCCTGCTATTCCCGATCGCAACCGACAAAGACAATGGCCCCATGCCGGATTGTTAGCAGGTCACACTCCATGACTAGGAAATATAACAAGTACTCATAGTTTAGAAATACCAACTTTTTAAAGAAGCCTCGAATACCAAAAAACATGCAAATCGTAGTAAATTTGACTACTAAATGTAAACTGTACTCGTCAGGTGAATTCATAACCGTACTCTTAAAAGAACCGTCCTTTCACCAGATTTCATTTAGTTGCAGATCTTCAGCGTTTTCAAGCTTTCTTCTATAAAGGTGGATTCTGTTCGACCTGTATATTAAGCACTTCGAAAAAAGGTATTTCTTAAAAGCATTTACCGAAAAGACGACTTTTAGGGTATTAGTTATAATGAAGAAGGCCATCTTTATCAACTACCCAATACCCCCAAAAGCCAAGCAAAAGGAAGGTCCACAGAAAAACTAAAAGAGCGAACAGAATGGCCGTTTCTGGCTTATTAGCTCTCATCAGTCAGCCATAACCAACCCCAGAAGTGGGACGGCTAATAAGTCAAAATGGCCACTCCGGTCCCCTTTGTCTTTATCGGTTCCATCTTATCAACAATACCTTCGAGGACCCTACAGTGAGCTCCAGGGCCCCTAACGAAACATAAGCGCTCTACTTCCATCATATTCCCGATCGCAAACGGAAAAATAAATAACGAGCCCGTGGTGCAATGCCAGAGTGTTGCACTCGATGACCAAAGGTCGCGGGTTCGAATCTCGGGTGATCCACACGTGGGATTAGGTATGGCTGGCTGATGATGGCTAATAAGCCAGAAGTGGCCATTCCGGTCTCCCTCGTCTTTGTCGGTGCCACCTTATCAACATACGTCTTTGTGCGACTGCCTGCGACAGAGACCAGGGAGACTTGAACGACCATTTCTGACTTATTAGCCGTCATCAGCTAACCATACCCAGCCCCAGGGCGGCCACCCTCGAGGTTTGAATCCGCGATCTTGTTAGTTAGGAGTCCAACCACTGCGCCACAGGCCCATTTTCTTGGCGGTTGCGATCCGGAATATTAGCATCAGGGAGTTAGTGCTTACCGATCGGTTTGGGGACGTTGACTGTGTCGATGTGGTTTACTTGTTAGGTCAATTCCTACTCCGGCCTAACGCCGTGGCCACTACATGTCTGTAACTGACCCCAGAGCCTGCTTATTTTGCAAACAATCCTTCCTAGAGGCCAGTTGTAGGTGCTCCCACAACTTGGGTAACCTCTAAGACCAGTTTGCCCGTGAAGGCATCTTGTAGTTACGGCGCTGTGTCCATTTTTGCCAGTCTTTAGGCTTGCTTTGCAGACCTTAACTAATCGCGTCGCCTCTCCTCTCTCCTGTCTGCACAGCCTCATCAAAAGTCCACTTCTCTGCGCTCCGTGGAGACGTCTGCTGCCCAACCTACTCACACCAAACCTGCTGCTGCTACTACTGTGAAGGCGGCTTCCTCCCAGAAGACTCTCCTGACCTACGCCCAGGAGCTGGAATTCCTGGTGGCCGAGGCACTGGGCTTGGAGACCCTAGTCAACACCAGAACCCGTTTCACGGAGCTTGCCCTCCCTGACCTTTCTGCGCACTCTACAGCTCCGACTGGCCTATCAGCGGTAATATATAACATTTAGCCTGCTTGTAACCAAAAGTACCCCCCCCCACGGCTCTTCAAGTCCTAATACTTGTGGCCAATAGGTACCCTTAGGTTGAGGTTAGCCAACAACGGCTAATAATGCTTCTAATAATTGGTCCCTACCGCCTCCTTTATAGCACAATGCTTCCTCTACTTGTAATCACGTCCTTCGTTTTGGCAGTTTATGAAGGACGCTTGCCTGCGTCTTGAGGCCGTTTTTCGTTTCTCTAATGCAGTCAGAGCTGTAAGCGTCGAAGTAGCGAGTAACTCCAAGCCCAGTTCCATATTTTCTATCAAGACTTGAAAGTAGTCCTCGGAGCCCATGGTATTAAGTCTCTGTTACTCAAAGCAAGAATGGGTCGGGTTCCGTGTGACCACTGTAGCAGATGGTCGTTGCGATGCAATTTTCAGTCTCATCAAAACTGATTGGATCAGACTGGAAGTAGGATTAGCACGCTCAGTGTAGGCACACTACTTCTGGCAGCAGTATCCTAGTTTTCATAGTTCAAACTAAATAGAGACTGCCACAGTCTCGTGGATAGAGCTGAGTGAGCGGAAACCAAGGGGAGCCCTGTTGTGTTCCGGGCTTAAAACATGTTATTACTGAGAATAGCATAATTCGAGGTTCACACTTCTTGTCGAGATTGAGGGGTTATGAGCCCAGCGCTGACTGTAATAGGCGCCACTTCTGAGTAATAATAGTGCCAGAAACAGTACTACTACTACTACTACTACTACTACTACTACTACTACTACTACT